CATCTGGGGGCCTTTTGTAGCTTACTAAACGGTGTGGGCTCATTATTGAAGGCCAACGGTGACGTATAGTTGTTAACTTCTTGGTCATTGGGTCTCTTGTAGGGAGTTCATAATTACCCTAAACATTATTCTGACTATACAAGTGATTGAAATTAAACAAACGTCCAGTGGCAAATATTTGTTATCACTTATATATATATATAGTAAAATATGATAAACCCCCGTCACACTAGACCAGATCGTACTTCGATCTCTGAAAAATAAATTCAAATGTCGACGGTCGTGGTAAGGTTTTCATAATCGTGATGAGCGTGGAACAACTTTGAACATGTTCAACCCAATCGTGGTGCGGTCGTGGAGAAATCAGGTCGTTGTAAAAGCGTAGTGAGAGCGCAGTAAGGTCGTGGTAAGATCGTACAGGTTGCTGTACCATCGTAGCAAAAGCGCGATTCTAGTCGGAGAGACTGAGCTACGATCTCACAGCGACGTTACTACGACCTTACTACGACAATCACATTCTCCCCACGACCGAATAACGCTTCTACTACGACTTTATCACGTTTATATCACCCTGTTCAAGACCATAGTACGATTCTAGCACGCCCATGCCGTCCTCATCACGCTCTTCTTACGACCTGACTATACGTTCATACCACGACCATTTCGAGTTCTAGTCATGCTCATTGTCATTGTCAGATAAAATATAAAAAAAGCTCTCCAGGTTTTGTTTGAAACATCAACTTCATTTGAACCATGAAAATACAAGACCATGTAAATGTAGTTATTCTTCTACAATCATTAACACAGAAACACAATCTTAACGACCTGGCCATGATATTGTTATTGAGAAAGCGAATAAGAAGAATAAAAAGAAACTTTAGACTTTTAGGCCTGTTGGGGTTGATCTTAGTTTTCCTCCGAAAGGAGGCTCCAGTGTGGTCATTATGGTCAGTTGATGAACGAGTTACGATTCGAGGATGAACCTTCCTTCTTTAATTTTCTGAGAATGCCACCAGAGATGTTCGATGCATTATATTTGAAAAAGTTAAACCAAGAATCAAGAAGACAGATACTCTATATAGAAGAGCCTTGTCGCCTGGTTTCAAATTTACCATCACATTAAGACAATAAGCTACTGGTGAAAAGTATTCTACCTAGCAGTATGACTTAAGAGTTGCACGGAATACTGTAAGCAAATTTTTACCCGAGGTTTGCCGAGCAATAGTTGAAGAATATAAAGATGAGGTGATTTCATAACCAACTGACCCAAATGATTTGAGGGATATCGCAGACGAATTTCAAAAGAGATGGAACGTTCTGTTATTGTGTTTTGTACTATGGTAAATTTTTGTATTCTTGTCTTTCCTTTTTCATGTTTTTGCTAATGTTTTTTGTCTATATGTCTTTTTGTGTTTCTTTTTTACATATGACGTGGCTCTGTACTTATACATCCCGTCATTGTGTTATGGTCAATTTTAGTATTCTTGTCTTTCATTTTTGCTTATGTGCTTTGTCTATATGCCTTTTTGTATTTCTTTATTATATATTGGTTTGTTTTTATAGTGATTAAGATTATTACACAATGTTGACTGCTGTTCCCCAATTTTTGACATTTTTACCTATTGTGTCTGTTTGTTTTGTTCACACATCGTTGTCAATATAATGGAATTGTATGCGACTGCCATACAAGTGGGGGGGGGGGGGGGGGGGTTAAGCTAGCTGTAAAACAAGGTTTAACGAAGATGTTTTGAATAACTTCTTTATTTAAATGTGATGAAAGAACGATGCATCACAACGACAACTTGTTCTATAATAAAAATATCCGACAGGTACATTAATTTTGTCCTTCAAAGGTTGTATCACTTATCATGCTTATTGAACGCACACTCTTTTGTAACATTGTTGGAACACATACAGGATCAATGATGTTTCATTATGCCTGTTTGTTGGATATAAGTAATAAATGATTGATATGAATAAATCGTACAAATCAAGAAAACCTCTAGTGTTTTGATTATTGTTAAAATCAGTTTTAAATGATTAATCATGATGATGCTTTCGTAAAAAAATAATCTTGGAGACCAGATCAGAATTAGTTTCAATTTATAACATTCATAAGGACATTAAAACTTTTTAAAAGTTTGATGCAAGTGAATAGACCGGTGTGCGTAAACACACTGTGGTTAACAATCTTAAGACTTTGTGAAAATAAGATTATCAGTAACAATTTTAAAATAAATTTCATTAAGAGATTAACTTTTTTCTGAATACATTTTACATTATATATGAAATAATTTAATATATCGATTTTATACGGTGTTAATTTGTTTAATCGTTGCACAGTATCCCTTCTTGTCATTTGTTAAGTTAAATATTTATATTTTGTATAATGAACACTTTCATAACGATAAAAATATTAACTAATTCCCCTTTAAATCAAGATCACAGGCATAGTGTCACATCTCTTTGTAAGAATTCAAACAACTGTGATGTTATAACTGTAGGCTGGTCGGATAAACTTATCACTCGAAATGATATTAAACAGAAGTGTGTCTACTTAATCTGATTAGATTTTTATTTAGATAGTGTACGTTCAGAAGATAATTATTCGTTTACGAATACCCTGCATTTTGTATGTGTCTTAATTCTTAACGTTCCATTATGACCATTAATTTGACAACTGCATACTATTTAGGAAATCATTTGATCACGGATAGGGCTCAGTTTAAAAAAAAGACATAATGCTAAATCTGGAGTTTATCGATAAATCAAAGCTATATTTTAGGATTCTTCCATGTACAAGAAAAATGTCTACAACTTTATTTGTTGATTGAAAACTGGTTTGAATCTCCTCAAAATGTGTGAATCCTAGTTTAACCAATGATTCATTTAACAAAAGGTTATGTATTACCCCAACAAAATAGGGAAAAGGCAATGTCATTTATAATTTAACTTGAAACCATTTTTATCGTTATTTTGTTGTTATCAGAGTGTCTTATACACTCAATAAATAAAGTAAATATCTGCATATACAAAATTGATAACAAAATATACTTTTAACTGTTAAATTCATTTGTTAATTGTCGTTATTTTATTTGGAAAAATTACACCATTATCATCAAATGTATTTATTTTTTTATCAATGTTTTATTGTTCAAAATGACAACAGTCTTAACAACTACGTTTAATTTTTAACGTCTTTAAGGCCACAACAATTTAATTTCTTGTTCTACGGATTTGTCCACTCCAGAAATTAGTGCGAGCGAGCGTTTTGAAAATTAAAAAAAAAAAAATTACAAATTTTTTAAGAGAAGCTTCAAAAGTAAAGGCGACCAATTATATATTTTTTTTTTGAAAAATAAAATCATAGGTTCATACAATATTGATCAAGATGGTATGAAATTTGATTTACAACTTGAACTTTGGCATTTCTTTAATATATCAACTGCTGATGTGTTTTTTTCTGTTCACCAACATGTAATGCCCACTTTTAATTGCATCATATTTATGGCTTCTTGTATTACTGTTACTTTCTAAGAACATCAGATATCGAACTGAATAATTCAATAATTATTTTAACTGTCTTAAATGATTTTCATTGAACTTTCATAGATGTCTTTCCTCATTCACAAGACCTGACTTATAATCAGAAACAAGGCGGGTGTCTTGCAAGAAGCAGGAGTTGTTTATCCTTCCCGAACACCTGAGTTCATCCAAGGTTTCAGGGATTTATTGTGTTCGTTAATGTGTATACTTTTTATTTTTTTGTGTTATACATGTATGTTGGTTGTGTGTTTGTTCGTCGTGACTTTGATAAGAAATATGTGTTTATGCTCGAGACAGTTTAAAGGATCGCGATTTGACGTCGATTAAAACGATCTGACAATCGCTAATAAATTTAGTAATAATTTAATTTTGGATGTAACACGTCTTCTGATTGGCTGAAAGTGTTTTGTCTATCAGCTCATAGACATAATTTTGTCATGCGACCGAGACGTTATCAACGTTTTTATCATGATTTACTTCTTTTTATAATTAAATTTTAAGAAATGACTTTAATATGTTTTCTGTCTATTCGAAATAACATAAAAAATGTGGTGCACACTTTTAAATAACACGCTACGCGGGTTATTCAGTGTGCACCACATTTTTTATGTTATTTCGAATAGACAGAAAACATATTAAAGTCATTTCTTAAATGTTTACAAAAAAACAGGCGCGGGAAATACACCCAGTTACATTTCCAGATGCTGGAAGCGGGAATATTAAAAAAAAAAAAAAATTTGTTTAGACAAAAATATTATGGGGACTGGTCTGTCGAACAAGAAATTTAATTGGTGTGGCCTAACTATATGATTTAAGATGAATAAAAGTAATTAAAGTAAACAGATGTAAACAGATGTAAATCACTGCAAAGTAATAAAGACATTTTGAAAATTCACATCATCAACATAAGATAAAAATATAATTATCAAAGAGCAATAACCGCAATTTGCCCATTTAGTCGATATGGATTACCTCCCATTGTCAAATATTCGAAATAATTCATATAGCGGGGATTCGGGAGAATTTTAGGCGTTTCGTAGAAAATCTGACAGTTGTTCCTAACGCCCTGATATAAACGCCACTCAGAAATAACTTTTTTCTCCGAAGAATTTCCCAAAAATAGTCAAGGGGTCCAAAAAACGAACGAAAAAATTAATTGAAAATCAAAATTTCTTCTTATATTATGGATTTCCATAATTTTATGAATTACGAAATCTCATAATATAGCAACAAAATTATTCGAATAACTAATATTATTGAATTTCATAATAATGTGTTTAATTAGGATATTTCATAATATTATGCAATTTCCTATTTGCCTCGACTGAACAATTTAGAAGCTTTTGTACATTTGTTTTAGGATTAAGTTTTTCGCCTCTTATGCAAGAATATTAGGAAAATTGATTTGACTTTAATTTTGTATGAAGTAGTACCAATAAATTTTTTTTTTTCAGAAGTTCAAGCATGTGAGAATATATCTTGTTTCATGTGGAGAAAAACAGGCATACAGATATCTATGTCGTGTTATATTAAAAATGTGTATTCATCTATACTTATACTTGATCCCTATAACACGACGCAAGCAAATTGTTCAGCATTTAACAACACATTTGTCTGTGATGCACTGCCGGAAATTGGCGCATACTTCAATTCTTTAAAAAATGAAACAGTTTTACAATGGGATATATCACATGAATTGACAACTGGCAAATGGTTGTGCATTCATGGTGTAGATATAATCGAATTGTACATAAACCCAACAAAAGGTAAGATTAAGGAACATGCGGCGTTGTGTTTTGTAAATAATTGTATAATTACTCAAAAGTTTATATATAAATAATATTCGTACAGTTAAGGAAAATATTACATGTATTTGTTCGAGCTTTTCTCCTATATCGAAGCGAGTACAAAGAAAATTTATATTTTCATACATTGAACATATATTGTTTTTACTCTGTAATTTGAAGAAATCGAGATGACTTAAGCGCGGACCGCAATGAGGACTCCAAATTAAACTGTGAGTAACTATTCCTCGCAACAGAAGCACGATACCAGGAGACTATAAACGTATACTATTACGTTATTCGATTTGTGTTATCAATACAAATGTATTTGTATATTAGAAAGGTTGTTTTACGGATAACAGATTTTATTTTTTCACCTGTTAATTTTGTAAGCAGTTCACTGTAATTTAAAATAATGCAGCTTGCTTTCAGTAAGTAAACAAACTCATCAGAGATACCTGAATTACAATTTTGTACGATAATCGCGCGTTTCGTCTACAAAAGACTCATTTGTGACGCTTGAATCAAAAACATTTAAAAGGCCAAATAAAGTTTGCCGCTGAAGAGCATTAAGGGCCCAAAATTCTGAGAGGTTTTGCTAAGGTAATCTATTCCTGGGGTAGACATTTCTTAGAATATGTAAACAGGTAATTTATATTAAGTATTGTAGTAAGTGATATCAACAAGTATTAGAGTATCCAATAATCCGTCAATTGATTGGACAAACATGTATTAAATCTTAATCGGGTACTGCCGAAATTGAATTTAAGCGTGCTACTTCCAGTATAATGTTCAAAATCTATGATTAGGTCATTCATCAAGATTTGGGCGATTTCAACATTCGTTTAAAAAAAGGGTAGAGTACAGTGACCCTGAAATGTTTTTGTTTGATTTATTGACTGTTTGGTTTTTTGCAGTGTGCTTAAAAAGTAAAAATAACAAAAATACCGACCTCTAAAGAAAATTCAAAACGGAAAGTCCCTTATCAAATGACAAAATCAAAAGCTCAAACACATCAAACGAATGGAAAACAACTGCCATATTCCTGACCTGGTACAGGCATTTCCTTATGTAGAAAATGGTGGAATAAACCTGGATTATAGCTATCTAAACCTCTCACTTGTATGACAGTCAAATGAATATAGCCAACGTATACTTTTATTTATACTAACTGTGCCAAAACAAAATTTGCCTTGTGTTTTTATTTTTTAGACATATTTTATTAAAAAAAGCAAAATTTTGACCTTTCAGGCTCACACTTATCTATCAAAATAGGCATGAAAACAGAAATACAGATAAAAAACGACACGTATTTATTTACTTTCGAATGTAGTTCTTGCCTTACACCTTACGGCAATTCTGTTGAGTTCATATTAAATAACAATATTCTGGATGTACTTCGAGAGAACAACAGGAAATGTTATCATAAATCGGGGGAATGCAATTACAAAACTTGTGTATGCTGTAAAGATTCTAATAGATATGTTTTGAAATATGAACTGCCGACAAAGACACAGATAAGTTCGTCTGGGTGTAGGATGAGATTTAACGATGAAAACCAGCAAGGCCTCGTGGTAAAAGAAGTACTTTTACAATTCAACGATCTTGGTAAGTAATTTTTCACGTTAAATGTTTCTGTAAAAAGAACTTTTCGTAAGACAACATTAACTATCTATCCTCTCTCTCTCTCTCTCTCTCTCTCTCTCTCTCTCTCTCTCTCTGTTTATCTATCCACCTATCTTTCTATCTTTCTTAATTTTAATATAGCAACATTATGATTTTTCAACACTTTCTATTCATAAATATAATTGTTGTTATTTGAATTAATTGATTTTGTTAAATATGATCTGTTCGTCTTTTATGTTCATTGGCGTTTACTCGACATTTTATATTCGTTTACATGCATTACGTAATATTTTAATTAGAAAGACACAATTTATCGCTGTTAATCTCCCGTGGAAATGGAACTTACATAGGATTTAAAGAGTCAGAGATCATATCAACAATAAAAAAATCAACAAAAGAGACAACAGAAAAAATTGAAACTGCACCACCAAACAAGAGTTTTTCAAGTAAGTAATTATTTAGTTCAAATTTCTATACACATACGTTGAATCTAGAACTCTAAATGTAAGATAAGTATTGGGAATTATTTCAACAGTTAAGTTAGAAATACGATTTACCAGTCAGTTATGTTTAAAACTTCATGAACGTTTGCAAAAACCAATTATCGAAAAACCTAAACGGCATAATTATTTTGGCGTCCAGTTTATACCTATAATACCTAAAGAAGGAATTGGACGATTTTTCAGGAAAAGACGTTTGTCCATCTGAACAAAATATAGTTAAAATTGTACAGGTTATAACTGCATTTTTCAGTTTCTGCTAGCAGGCTTAAAATTTCTTTGCGTTTATTATCGAATGCATTTCGTATGCAAAATTCTCCCAACAGTAGAAAAATTATGAAATTATATATATTTCTTGGCGAAGACTTATCTAATTGCGTATACCATTCCAGTAAATAAGTAAGTTCTTATTACTATACCTATTGGTTTCAGCAATAACTTGCAATGAATCTGATTACAAGAAATAAATAATACTGGTATCTATGATGAATGAACTCATCATAGATACCAGAATTAAACTTTTGTACTCCAGACGCGCGTTTCGTCTACAAAAGACCCACCAGTGACGAGTTTATTGATATATTTGAATTCTACCATCCAAATACACAGTCATGTGACTTAGCAGAAGCTTTGTCGTTGCAACAAAAATATCGTTCTCTTCATAATTCGTTTTGCTGAGTTTGGTCGGTTCAGATTAATTGGTATCAATATACTTAATGGTTCTGGCAGGGTGGTCGCTTAAAATATGTCATCACATGTAGATAGTGTAATATTATAAAATATGTGAACGACATTGAGGAGCTCGTTCATGCTTAATTTTGAAAACAAGTTACATTCTCATTCTGGTTTTGCAGGATCATAAATGAAAACAATGATGTGTTAAAGACGAAAGGGTAGTTTGCATATAACATAATAAACAAATATTATCCTAATACCCACGGAAATGTATACACCAAAAGAATAATCAACCATTTTGACTTCATCGATAAAGAAATGTTTTTGCTTGTTTGTTAGATGACATTTGAAACAGTCCATTAGCATTATTCGATTCATTGACATTTGACCTTTATTACAAATATCTGGTATATCGCTGTGTATATCCATTTACATACTATAAACTCTAAACTGACAGATTACGCAAGCATTAATTGTAGTATATCTTAATACATCCACACCAACTTCTGTGTGCAGGATGTATTGTCCTATAGTGTCATTCATACGGTTTAATTTGCATTTTGAAATATTGTAGATTTGTATTTTGATTTTGAAAGATCACACATTAGTCCGAAAGGCCATAAGGAATTAAGCTATACTCATGGTAAGTGATGGATCATTAGGATTAAGTCTACTGCAAATCACCAATAATTTAAATAAAATACGAGAAAGTTCAGATACAAAATATACTGCTTACACATAATGGTCACATAATGTATATCAACGACAGAACATTACAAATAGAAGTAACATTCACATATGATTTTAATCCCTTTCTATTCGATTTAAGGACATAGATGGTACAAAGAGTTTGAAATCATCACCAATCAATCTAAGTTATTTAATTTGATTGAATTGCAAACGTATATGGTCATCAAGGTGGATGCGAGAATTAATTTTATAAATTTTACTGTGAATTAAGCTCTGACAAACTAAACAATGCCTATAATTGCATAAATGAATTATTTCAATATCATGACCAGTTACATAATTTTTCAAACCACAATATTTTAACAAAAAACAACTAAAACAAACAAACAAGCTTTTTAGCTTAACATACGGCAATGATTTTTGTTTATTGTCGAAGACGTACGACGATCTATAATTACTTTTATACACATCCTTTGGTCTCTGTTCGACATGTTCGTGTATCGGAAATCATACCACATCTTTCAATTTTATATCAACAGAAATTTCGAACATTTACAAAGGAATATTTTAACAATTTTATGTGCTGTATAATAACACGTATTTTAAAGTTCGTTAATTTCGCATTCAGGTATATTCAATTTGATGATATCCTTTCGCTCAATGACAACTTTCAGAGAGTGCTGTATTCTCATGTTTCGAATATCATATGTCATGATGAACCTACCTTACAAATACCACTGACAATAGAAAGACTGATTCATATTTGTATCTTTTTACTGAAACAAAAAAGTCTTTTTCGTTCGATAGATGATCAACATGACAGTTTCTTCATTGTTTAATTTCCTGTTATCAGTAATGAAATACCCTCAGTGCCATTGTATGGCCTTCAAAAATATTGTGATGAAGTATATTCAACCAGTGGTGTCAATCAAATGTGGATTGTCAAAAATTCTAAAGATCTACTGCTAAATCTTAGATCACAATCTCTGTAATTTTTCATCAACATTAAGACCTTGATTTTTCTACGCTTTACACTACTATTCCCCATGCTCAATTGAAAGATCGACTTCACCATCTCATTCAACAGAGTTTTTTCTGTAAAAATGGGAATCGTAGATATAAATTTCTTGTTTTGGGTTATACTAATTCTTATTTTGTGAAGAACCACACTGATTCTATCAGAAAATACACTGAAGATGATATTATCAAAATGCTGGACTTTTTAATCGACAATATATTTGTTGAGTTTGGAGGATTGATATTTCAACAGACAGTCGGTAATCCAATGGGTATTAATTGTGCACCCCTTCTGGCCGATTTGTTTTGTACTCGTGTGAAGCAGAATTCATTCCGAACCTTCTAAAAGACAAAAAGAAAAAGCACCTTGCGAAATTCTTTAACTTTACTTTCAGATATATTGATGGTGTCCAAACTGAATAACCCATTTTTCAGTCAGTACTTGCATCTCATATATCCCAGTTAACTCGAAATTGAGGATACTACCGACACTAGAAGGACTGCTCCACACCTTGCTCTTTTCCTCAATATTGACACAGATGGACGACTTCACACTAAAATCTATGACAAACGGGATGATTTCAACTTCCCAATTATCAATTTCCAATTTCTCAGCAGTAACATACCCTCTGCTACGTCGTTTGGTGTTTACATATCTCAATTGATACGTTATGCTCGTGCATGTTCACACTATACGGATTTCATATACAGGAGTGTGCTCCTTACGCAGGAACTGCTCCAACAGAGTTATGAGGAGGAAAGATTAAAAATGACACTCCGTAAATTTTATGGACACCATCACGAATTGTTTGATCTATAAGATGTGTCTGTGTCTAAACTAACTAACGACATTTTCACAATTAATGTTAGATTGTGGTTTACCATCTACGCCATCTGTCTGCTAAGTACCGAACGTGACCTATTCCCGAATATGACTGTTTTGCCGAGTGTGAATTCGCATTGCTATACGACGTGTCTCGGTATTTATACATCCAACATTCATGTATTTAGTTATGATGTTTCTTTTGTAATAACGGTTCGATATTGTGTTATGTCTTATCGTTTGTGGTTTGATTCATTCTGTATTTTCGGTACATTTCACATATGTCTTATTTTTCAGTATAGTCGAGTTAATTTCCATTTTCCATGGATAAAGTATTGTGTTAGTTCGAATAATTATGACGTCGTCACAGCATTAATTTAAAATAGTCTTTCAAGACCGTCATAATCATGATAATTATTTGGACTAGTATTGTGAAAATATTTGTGAATTTTTGGATCTCGTTCCATATAATTGTATGAATGTCAAGATTATATATACGTCACAAAAATACGTCACTTGTTGTGGCGTTGATCCATTCATGTGACGTGCAGTTTGTGGTGTCCTGTGCTGTCGTTAATGGGAGATGTCCGTTGTTTTTCTGCGGTTTACATGTTGTAATGTACTATTATATTATTTATTTATGCATTTCTCTGTGCTGAGTGTTCTTGTGTTTGTTTGTATTGTATTCCTGTCACGTAGTGTTGTCATTTTAGCGATATGTTTTAACATTCTCATATAAGCGGGAGGTTTGGCTAGCCAGAAAAACAGGTTCAACCCACCATTTTTTCTTAAAATGTCCTGTACCAAATCAGGAATATGGCAGTTGTTTCTATGTATGTTGGCGTTTGTTTTTGTTGCAGTTCAGTGTTTCTGTTGTTCCGTTGCTTTTCTCTGATAGTTGATGTGCTTCCCTCGGTTTTAGTTTGTAACCCGGATTTGTTTTCTCTTAATCGATTTATGACTTTTAAACAGCGGTATACTACTGTTGCCTTTATTTACCTATCTCAATTTATACATTATATGAACATCATTAGCAGGAATGGACTTATAACGCAAATCATGCTCCAAATGTTATTAATAAGGACGAGTGAAAGCGATATTATAAATATTTTACTATTACCATCATGAACTGATTTTCATATAATATAGTCTCATGAATAAACATTTCACACAGTTTAATATAATTTTTCAAAGTAATAATGCTAAAGTATTTCTTCTCCTGCAATATTTATTCATTTTTTTTTCTTTTTCTTTAGATTTTAGAGATATATTTACCAGACTAGCAGTTGGGTTTGCAATTGTAATATTCATCGTGGCATTGGCATGTTGTTGTGTAACATAGGAATGCAAGTACGGTATATTATATTTTAAAACTGCCACATCGTTGTATAGCTTTGCCTGGTGAATTTTAATGATTTCGACATCTTGTAAATTTGCTTTAATTGTGAATAAAAACTTACAAGGAGCTCATAATTTCCTAACAACATAATTGACGGCAATTTTGTTAGTGTAACGAATATAGTAAATGATATTTATACGCCTTTTGTTCTAATAATTAGGTAGACTCTTCTAATAGGGCTTGGCCAGTACGTCATCTCAGAACTATTTTTTTCATATTTCAGGTATCGAACTAAAAGTATGTCAGTTGTATTTATCAATACTTCTTTAATAGAATCAGAACTGCTTTTGATAGAGTAAATTTTAAATACAAAGGGAAATTTGAAAATCATATACCCAATGAAACAGACAACGACATGGTAAAATATAAAAACAACGAAAGGGTAAAACGTGTTATCAAAAAGTAGAAAAATATCTTAAGAATGTTAGCCGAATACTTCTAAAACAATCATTTAAGGAAGGATCATTGATAGTATTAGTGTAATATTTCAATCAAACCTTTAGCTTTTCTCATCTTTGATGGTCAGGCAGAAACACTTATCAGTCCGATATAAAGGTGTTCCACAACTTAATTTGGAAAGACCTTATTTTTTCTTTAAATTTCCTTAATTTGCATATATCTTAAAGATTGTTACAGATAGAATTGATCTGAAATGGCAACGTGCACAGGAACAGATGACATAATTAATTATTTGTTATCAACCCTAATAAAAATTGTTTTCCTTGATATATTATACACAATTTTGAATAGTTATATTTCGAGAACAGGATGTAGTAAAGACATCGGACCTTAGACACAAAACTTTCCGACCATCTGCTCAAAAGTCATGACTAGATAATTCTTTAAAGTATAGTTTTTTGTGTATATCTTTGAAACGGTAACCGATATCAACCTACCATAAACTGCAAAAATTATCAGTATTTTAAGATCTTTAATTTGTGGTCAATGTCAAGGGCATGAGAAAATTTCACCTTGAATTGCAAAGGGTACTATAACCTTGACCTTGTAACTTTTTAAAAGGTCAAGTGGTCCTAAGTTGAATGGTGGTAGTCCCATGTCTCTACGACTCCAGATCTCAAGTTCGGTTTTGCATCATATATTAAAGTATTCATTCATTGTGCCCTAAATGAGCTACGGAATTGCCCAAAGTGTTGTGACACTGTTGTATTTCACATGCAGATCAGTTTACACTTTGCAGATTATTGATAACTGTAATCGTTTGAGAGGTATTGCAGTTTGACGGGTGGGGGGATATGTTTAACATGGCTATATGTTTTACTAAATACCATAAACATTTGACGAAAAACAAAGAAAAATAAGCAGTTTGAAATTTTCATGTTATACATTGACTTTGTAGTAACATTAACGATACCAATTATTCTGCACGTGATGTGCATTTCGACAATAAATTTCTCTGCAATGATGCTTGAGGCCAAAATATTTGAAATTCCAAAGCTTATTAAAAAGATGAATAGCTATAAACTAAAAAGGCCAAAAAGTATGACCAAAGCCGGGCAAGGAATCAGAGCTTTGTTTCGACAAATTCAGTAAGTTTCATAAGTTCTATTTATAAAATTGATATTGCATCATTTTTTAGACTTTGCCAAATGGGGTCATGTGACATATCAATTGATTATTAAATGAGCTCTCTTCAAAAATGAAAATTTTAATCCCCTTTATCATCCTAAAGAGAAGGGTGAGGTCATTAAGTGTACAAAATAAATCTTACTAAATGGTGGTGTTGTCGCATATCAAGTCTACATTACAAATATCATACTTCAAATCTCGACAATTTAAGTGGATAGGGTCATTAAGTGCGAAAATTGAAAAGTTTAAAAGGTATGCTTCCCGCATATCAAGTGAAAGGTCGTTAAGAGTACATTACAAATATCAGACTTTGAAGGGAAAAACCTTTCAAGTGTTTCACAATCAATTGAGATACTTGTTATATGATGAGTTTTCTCTCTTGTCATTCATCAACTTAGCGAGTGCACAAGTGTATTAGGACCTGACGCATCATGTGCGTTCTTCCCGGTTTCTGACGGGCTTCGTGTTTCTAAATCGTTGCTCTTGAGTATTAATTTGCAGAGTAACATTGTCGTTTTTGGAGGATGGTGGTAGCTTTGTCATGTTTTATTTTTTTTATTTCTTGTTGGTGTCTTTTCTCCTCTTTTCTAAGTAATTTCAAAATACTTCTTGAACAATCTTTTATTTTCTATTAATGAATACACTTATGTGGTATGAACCAAGTTGCAATGCTTGCTTGAATATCAAAAGCCTCTACTTTGAATTGTTCATATGTTAATATTAAGTATATTGCTCAATACGTTCTTGCCTGGATTGCACTAGATGTTGATTTAGCTCTCTGCTTTGCTAAACCAAATCATTTGAAGTTTTTTATCGACTTATCTGTATGAGGAATTTTGGAGTAAGAATATAACCTGGTCGACTTGGAGTGACAATAAGTTGTCCAGTAGAGTTAAATAAATTTAGCTATTAACTATTTGTCAGCTCGTTCGTTTAAGCTAAGGCTTAGCATTTAATTTCAGTTTATCTATGGTTTTGCTGCTCAGATACTAATACATTCGTGCCTTGGTACAGTGTTTAGCGTACATAATGAGAATTGAGGTATCGGTATTGTATTGTTATATAACATCATGGAATATCCATTTATAGTAACGGCATACTTTAATTGAAAAAAAAAAAAACGTTTATGAACTTGAAATAAGTTGATTGATAAACATATATATCTTTACGTATTTATTTTAAATCAACAATTTGTTAGTATTATTATTACTTGCAGATTTCTAAATGCAAAAATAAAAATGTGACAATGTAAAATCTTGGAATAAAAAAAACAATACATACCTGAAATCAAATTTAATAATAAAAATGTCATTTGTATGCATATTGCATTTCTTTAATTCAACATAAAGTTTTATTTATTTTTGTAGGAGAACATCGAATATTATAGTAAATCTAAAAGACATCGAGATGAATCTCAAGGAAGATACTGAGAAACTAAACAATCTCAGGTAAACTCAATGTGAAAGGCAAAAACACAGACGGAAAAGCTACGTCCTTTGAAAATGGAGGGGATTCAATGAAAGCGCGTGTAGAAAACCAAATAGGCGAATATCACTTAGGAAGATAGTTTTCTCTACCAAACAATAGTGTAAACCAAATAATATTCGCCAGCAATTTATTTCCATAACGCGAACATAAATCATAAACAAATGTTTCAAACGTGCATAAAGGTTTAAAATCGCGAAATTTATTGGACCAATAGTTGGCGGGAAAGGGATAAACTTTAAAAAGGTATGTATCTTTCTGTCAATAAACGCAAAGGCCTTCAGTTGATTAACAATGAATACACACAAAAAAAGAACATTACGTCGGACCATGATACTTAGAATTTTGGAAATAACCTGTAGAGAAAAAAATGCCACAACAGTTTTCAAAAGATACAAGCATTAATTAAATGGATTCCGGGTAAAAGGAGAACAACTGTTTAAAATGAATATTCATCAACTGCAGTTACATTTTTCTCAATAAGATTGGTATGCATTATGCATGTCCTTTGCAATCTGTTCATTTATCTGTTTTCTTAATTTATTCATATAGATTTTTAATATATTAAGTAATGAAACTAATACTACCGAAATTGATACTAAACCATGGCAAGCATAACATGAGTCCATTGATCACATGTGGGACATTATCGTGCAAAAAATTAATCAGTGAGAACCCAGATGTACAACACTTGCTGAACCGATAAATGGCTTGATTCAGGAATGGCAGATGTTCCAACAATTTTAACTCTGACGTCTTGCTATGGGAATGAGAAGACGTTTAAATAATTTGCACCGAAAATGATGATGGTATATCCCAAAAGGCTTTAGGTATTTTAAACGACATTACATATGGGAATATTTAGCTTAAGGAACAAAGCCGTGTTGCTAATGCATTTAAAAATATGAAAATGAAATGCACATTGATACTTTTCATTGGTATTTTATTGCCGTTTTTTCTACTGTAATAAAAATAGTCATATAGTTTACCCAACATATGGTTCAGTCTTGTTCCTTGGTATTAATACCAATTGTGATCTAGGTTTTCACTAAATATCAATAGATTTATAAGTTTATGATTTGGATTGATCCATGTTGTTTAATACTAACGTTTCTTATTCTAAAATGAAGCTTTGCTGAAAACCCAGGTGGTTATTAACTTTTTTCAGAGTGTTAAAATATAATGCGATTTTGTAACTTTTAGTTTTTGTTGTTGTTGTACTTGGTTATACTGCCTTTTTATTCATATTCATAATGTAAATGTACACCATTTTTATACATTTTAACATCAAATGAAATATTTTTATTTAAACGATTTACACAATGTTGCTCTTGTACATCGTTACATCTAAGCTCATAAAAACAAACATATCGTACCAATTTTGTAACTAACAAGCTGAAACCTCAAAATGTTTGAATTCGAATGAAACATATAAACCATGCACATATATATGTTATATATGTAATGATAATTTTGCTGCACCTACACATACGTTATTTTTCCCAGTAAACTTTACCTTTAAAAACTTACAAAAATGCATTTCGAAGGTGTTAGATTTCTTGCATGAACCTTATAAGAAGGAATACAAGTTGAATGACAGAAATGTATTTAGTAGTGTGTAGATTTCTTCCATTAAAATAAACGTAGGATTATGAGTTGCATTCCTAATAGCTACAAGAGTATGACAGTCTTAAAAACAGACCAAGGCTTGGGGTAGCAAAATAATTAATGTTCTTATCTACTTCATATATAAAAAATGAAGAGCAACTCAAATAGTGTTTACTGCTCGTAGCAATTTGAAAATGTTAGGTAATCAAATGTTTGATAGTACGAAATAATGAAAATGACATGCATCCGAAGCGCTTTTCTGGATTTTCTTTCATCGGGAACGCTCAAACCCAAATATTTGAAAGTCAAGAATGTATAAGAACCAAAACAGTTGAAGAGCTATATGACCAAAAAGGACCTAAACAGGTTTTTTGTATTTTCAATAAATATGAGGTCTCCCAAAAAAATTATCAAAATTCAATACCATTTTTTTGTGGCAACTACATGCTTCAAAATTATTTATGTCAAAATAATCCTAAAAAATGGATAAAGGAATGCCAATTTAAAAAGGAACATTAATTGAACAGAAACAGAATAAAGGAGACAAACAATCAGCAGAGATTATCAAGTTCTCAAATCGATATCATTTTCTTAAGTGACGACTAATTTTTTTATTCCTTTTCACCGAAATTGGTATATTGCAGGAAAAGTAAAAATGATAAAATTATTCTAATTCAAGATAATGATCAACATCTTCTGAGTACTCTTCTATTTCATCCTCCTTAACACTTGTCTCGGTTCTGCTTGAAACTTCTGGTTCTAAGTAATATTCCTCAATTTCTTCGTAGGTAGAAGTCTCGTTGTAAATATTTACATTGTTGATCTGTCCAGGTGCAGCAAGATATCTGTGATGTATGATTTTATTAGTTTAATACGTGTTATATTGGAATTACTAACCGTAAAATTTAACAGTTTTACAGATAATATGTTTTTAGAAAAAAATCTATTTGTATTATGTTGACACCGGCAACATATTTGCATTATATGGGCATGATGGTTATTAGAATTTGTCTGATATTTTTAATTATGCTATGTGAAAGCGTTTCAGATGACGTTTGTAAGTAACATATTTTGTAAAAAAAAAGTATTCTATTCAGAAATAAACAGAAATAAACACAAAATACTTTCTTCGTCCGTTGTTATTAGTTGTTTCTAATATTTCATTAATGAATATGAAAATTGAAACTACAAAAATGTATTCATACATGTTCTTTTCTGTAAGGATAATACACAAAATGCTAAGTCTTGAACTTGTTGCAGGTGTTAAAACATTCAATATAGTACAATTCGATCAATTATGAACTGAAATTAAAGTGTCTATTTCCTGAATTCAAAGTTTTCAAATTCATTCCTATCTGAAGGACCAGTCCTCAAATCTTCTCTTAAACGTACACCACACCTATTGCAATTACAACATTTATACTTTATGCTGGATAAACGTTGACGTCTTCATTTTCAACCTTCTCACTACATCTGGTAATATTTACCGTTCACGAATAATCATAATGACCATATGTTATATTTGATGTCTTGAATAACGACAATATCACTCTTCTACAAAAATTTTCACTCAAAGAGTTGATATACTGATAAGCTAAAAATATAAGTTTGAACCTGGACTGTTACTGTTACTGCATTGTGTCCAAGCTTATTTAACATAATGAACAGAATGCAAAAAGAGAGCACACCGATACGTTTTCCTAATAGGTAATGTATTTGAGGTAGTTAATATAAATCTTTAAACTTAGCAGATCAATCAACAATTATTCGTCATCAATCTTCTTTCTTCTAAATAAGGAAAGAAAGCTGTCTTACATCATCGACAGATATATCTAATCCTGCAAACACATTCCATTTCAGTAGTGTTTTGTTTGTAAATGACATTACATTAGGTGTCCTTACAAAAATCGTTGAAATGCTTAATTAACATATTGCACTTTTTCCAAATCTACTAATATCCAGTCCATCACAAATCAGTCGATTAAAAAACTGACAACGCCATGGCAAAACACAAACGAAGCACAACTGGAAGACAGTGTACAAAACTTAACATAGAAAACTTAAGACTGAGCAACACGAACCCGACAAAAAAACCTGCGACGATCTCAGATGCTCCGGAAGGGTAAGTAAATTCTGCTCCACATTATATTATGGATCGAATGCGGTATACACCATTCATTTATGTCGTGTACACAATCTGACTGAAATGCATTGCTATAGGACAAGAGTTTAGTTACATGTCATAAAAAGATTGAATTCGGGTGTATCTGATGAAGGTAAACTTAATTCGATTTTGGCGCGAATTTTAGTTTGGCATACTTTTGTTATCCCAAGACAGCATGTAAATATTGCTTATTTGTCATTAAGAAGGAAGGGTCAGAAGATTCCTGCTCCACAAGTGAAACCTGGAGTATATTTCTCAATACGATATTTCTGTGCTTGTTCTCCACTTCATGAATCATTCCTCGTAGATTGTTGCTGGGGAAAACTACGTAAAACAGAGGTAAAGTCATATTCGATGGTTTTATTCAATATTTTCACAATAACAATAAACAATACAACCGCATCGTTTTCCTTTGTTCGTTATGGAATTTTTAAAATGACAGCAGAAATTCTTCTAAAAAATATTTAAAATTACCATTTAAACAAAGTGTTTCCGATGTAATTAACATCCTAGTTACAAAAGGTTAACATGAGTTTAAAGATATAATGACCAGTACAAATGACTCTTCCTTAACCCTGCCACCGAAGAGATAAACGTTGAAACAAAACCAAAATTATAAGTAACAATAATTGGTACAGATAGCCTTGAACATGTGTTTACTAGCTCTACATGTGGTGGGTTTAACAATTGCAATTACATGTGCACAATCCGGGATGAAGGTCGGGAAATTTGGACTGCCACTATCAAATGAGGGTGTTTTGGACATGGACAGATATTTTACATTGCAGCAGGTAGACAACGGACCCTCAAAGCGTTGTAAGAGTTCTTAACCTACAGAGAGCATGGCACTCTCTCTACAAGAGGCATCGCATTTAACGTTCGATTCTGCAGACGTCGCTGCATACGTATACATCCCGCAGAGTCACACGGATGTCCCACTTTGGCATGGGTTTTACTGCCGTTTGTAAAAAGGTCAAAAGTGACATCTTTTTTTATTCCGCAGTCACTATTGAAGGTATTTTCTTAATCATTTCTTAATTATACAACGGGGAATTTTTTTAAATACAATGTATATCAAAAATAATGCCAGTACCAAAGCACCGACTATTGAACTGACGTCTGTGATGATACCATCAGACTAACAGTTTACCAGCAGTTGAATCAACACACAGTTCATCAACTAACAGAATGTTCACTTAGTATTTGTCTGCAATGTTTGTTTGCAAAAAAAACAAACATGCACACGGTCAAAGAAATACAATAACGGTGTGTCGACTATCCATATCAACCTTAAAAATAACTCATTATCTTATCTGACACAAAGATAATCTTTCAAATTACTCACATTGCTCTTGAGGCAGCAAGTAGTCTCTGTGTATCTATAAGAATGATGAGTATCATTATTGGTGATGACGTTTTAAACAAACAACAAATTTGAAGATTTCTTTTTATTTTTATTTTGCATAAACATATTTTCTGAGTTCTGTGATTCTGAATAATCTATATTTAAAATGTTGACATTCACTGTGATCATAACAGTCTTAGATGTATGTTTTATTCCGCGAGAAATATTTCTATTAATATATAATTGTGGTCTCATTTTGGATTAATTGATTGTTGGTTGCTAAACGTCCAGTGGCAACTATTTCATACATGTTCTGGACGAGAACAAATTAATCATAAATACAATAGGTAGGTCCGGAAATAAAATCCGTCCGTGACAAAGGTTGGGGAAATTTTTACTGCCACTGGAAAATGAGGGTATAGTTGATAAAGACAGAAATTTTGTCTTGCAATAGGCCACCTACGAACTTCTCAAAGAGTTGTTGCAAGGGTTCTTAACCTGTAAAAAGCGTGGCTCTCTCCTTACACAAGGTATCGGATTCAATGTCCCCATTCTGACCAGAAGTGGCTGCGGACTTGTACATCCCACGCAGCCAACAGACACCCAACTTCGGAAGGTGTTTTATCATCGACCGGAAGAAGACCAAAGTGACCATATTTCAATTCCCCAGGCCAGTCACTATTGAAGGTCTCATTTTGGAAGAAAGGTATAAGAAAGATGGCCTTATTCAATTAGAAAATACAATTCTAAATTTTGATTTTGTATACTTCAGTTTTATGAATTTAACAAAGCCATAACACACTTAATCAATTGCAGTATACATCACTGACAAAATCATTGCAAACGAAAGAATACTGCAATCTTGTATGATTCCAAGATGAAAGTATTCCCTTTTGAATAGATAAATCTTGATGTTTTTGGCCTCTATATTGGTTTGATAGGTTTAAGCTTTTACTTGTTATTAAACATACCTCGTCTTTGCCGGCAAATTAAGGCAATTGATAAAATAACTGAGACAACAAACAGCAAAGTTGCAAGTAATATCCAGCTTAACAGTCTAATGTTAAAAACATTAGAACCTGGAAAAAATGAATATCATGATCATTTTTTTTTAAAAGTTAATAAAAAGTTATATGTGTTTCTTTTAAACTAACTTAAATAAATACAATGTATCGATATTTTTATGTTTGGTATCAAATTACCAGGAGGAAATTAACCTGCAACTTAATGAAATATATCTTTAGAGTGTATGAGAATGTAACTCGACTGCTACCAGTTTTACACATTCATACCATAACTGATGATCTTTTCATGACTATAGATTACAAGAAATAAGTACAGTTTAAGTAAAAATCTACCTTTTTAATTTTTTTGATTTTGTTGTGTAATTTTGAAAGGCGTTAAAAGATAAATTTAATAGAATGTTCAATTTGTCGTCGCCGAAATTCCGTTATCTTTTCCTCATCAAATGCGACCACCAAAGAAATTTTACTTGCAATTAGTAACACGGCTGGTGCCACTAGTGAAGCACAAACTTCTTACCCTTACTTGAAGTACTCTATTTATATTAAATAGTTTCGTGTTCTTATTGCTTTTGTAGTCAGTGTTATATTTGGTGCCTTTTTAATTTCATTACGTATATTCACTAAGAGACTTTCCGTTATTGTGTGTAGCCTTGATATGACTAATCAATGTTTTTTCTATGAGTAACATGGCTTATTTAAAGTTTCTCTTTTTGTCCATGGTGTTGATTGTTTTATTCGACAAGTTTTTTGGGATGCCTTATGGTATTTTCTGTCTTTTTGCTTTACCATTTAATAATTTAAAACACAGAAAAGACAACATTTGTGTAAGCTGCATATATGTATTATTGGAGATTATTTGGAATAAGTACTATAGCAGGTCAGATTTTCCCCAATATTTCATACAGAATCATTGAATGTAGTAATACAGAGACTAGTTTTGGAACTTTTTGAACTCATTTCTATACATGCTTACTCTGGGAATATTACACACTAGTACATAAAATACTACAAATACAAAAACTATCGTTTTATATTTTGTGTCAACTTGGTGCCTTTTATGTTGTCTCATTGTACATGTATGAGTTTTCTTCTTGAATGAAGTCAGTATAAGTGCCTATAGCTATTTATAACTTTTTTTGGACTTTGGTGGGTAGTTGTCTTTTTGTAAACCATTTTCTATAATGTATATCTCGTAACTATGCATAAAATAAATACTGCTTAATGTGTTTATGATACTTCATACTTTGAATCCAGGCAATATACGACAATTTAAGGAAAACAATTTATTTGAATGTATTTCTTCGCAAGTAGATATGTATGTTCGTTACAAGGAATGTGGTGTCTTATTTGTGACAGAGTGTTAATTTTTTAGAGAAAGTAAAGTAATACCATTGTCATGATTGTTGAATTCAAATTCTATTTTCGTCGTTCCGTAATCATTATCAAGCAAAATATAGCACTTAAATATGCCGTAGTCTTTGTTGATCACAGTGAGATTTGCGATGTACCCGTTGTGGGTTAAAATTTTCCCAAACATTCTTATCACTAAAATATCCGTCGACATATTTTGGAAAAATCGTGTTGAGTTTGGAAGCA